TGTATCCTGGGAAAATATATCAGAAGAGCTAGGTTTTACAAGGGTTATGATATTCTCGTGTAAATCTAAGTTTTATGAATGCAGGTGTTAAAAAACTACAGCAATATAAAATTAGAGATAAAAATACCTGCTGCCTGGAGGAACGTGTTCTGTCATAGCTCTCACCCTGGCACATTTAAGACCAAAAGCAGGTTTTTTTCCTAGGCTTGCTACTCATAAAGCCTGCTCTATGTTTTTGATGAGAACTAGTAACTTTAACATTTGGAACTTTCTCTCAAGTGTAGGTAATGTCAGAGGGAGAACCCACATGGAATCTGTATCAAGCTCCAAAGCCTCAGTTCCCTCGTTGGTTTTGCTCTAACGCACGTAGTCAGTCAGCTCACCACACCCTAAGGACTTCATGCTGTAAGAAACACAAGAAGTGCTTAAACCAGTATAAAAGAACAAGCCTCTGGTCTGTGCTCACCTGCAGGGCACCACAGCCTCTAACTGGGCACTGGGCTTGGCACAGGGACACGGACTGGGAGGAACTGGAGACAAACACCCAGGAGGTGAACCAAGGGCACCAGGACACCCAGGATGTGCCCAGGACACGAGCAGAACCCTGGGCTTCAAAGGAAGATGCAGGGAGCTCGGTAGCAAACAGCTGCAGAGTAATGTGCCTTAGGAGATACTTCTTTTCAACATGGCCTTGGGTGGCTCATGACACCAGATGTGACCATTCATGCTCCTTCTTTCACAATCCTTTCAGAGTCCTTCTGCTGTGTGACTATTATTCTGTGACTATTTTTCTGTGTGTCTGTCTGTACCTGTGCTCTATCTCTGTACCTGGTGCAGGCCACACATGTCCAGAAATCTTTCTGTCCATCTATCCACCCCTAGACAGCTTTCTCACCTATGAGTCTATTGCTCAAACCACTCAGCACCTGATAGGCCTGCTCCTCCCACTCCAGCAGAAATGTGGGTTTTCCTACAGTTCAGGTAACTCTCTAATTTCTTTTAAATACTCCCAAATTTCTGGTGAGAAGAGACAAAGACTGATGCCATCTTGGGCTAAAACAATTTTATAACAAAAGTCATTTTCGGAAGTGCTCTCCTGCTAGAGAACATGGTACTGCTTTCAAGACACCATAATACTGTACCACAGTGTCACCTTCTCTCCTAGCAACAAACTCAACAAGGGCATCCAATATTTGGCAAAACGGAGAAAATCCACTGATGAAATCTCAACAGGTTAGACACAAGGCCAGAAGTAACAGACAGAGAGAGGTAACATGCATATGAAACATTAATACGGAACATTAAATTGTAAAATTCCTTTTTTCTGAGTCCCGCCATTCTTTTGGGACACAATTTTGTCCTTTTCTTACAATTTGGGCAATCTCCTTCCAAGCAATATGGTCAGTCCCAAACAATGAAGTCACCAAAGCATTTATCAGATTCTGTTCCTTATCTCACACCCTCTGCCTGCTCAACAAACACAACCTTTGCTTCCCATCTAAGTGCTCAGCCTTAGTGCACAATTACAATTCCAGACACAGTGCCAAACACTAGCGCTTGTAGGAATCAAAAGCATCCAAAATTCAGGTCAATTTGAACAGTCATAAAACCCCCATCCAGCCAAACACTCCAGGTGCCCTTATGAAAAACAAGGAATGAAGCCCAAAAGCAGAAGGAAGAGTTCTGCTTTAGGTGCCAGGGTCAGGAGGCAGGGCTGGGGTGGAGGGACAGTCACTCCTGGAGAAGAGGGATGGAGGCTCCAAGCAACCACTAGTGATTGCACAAGCCATGAGCCTGACTGCCCACAGACCTGCTAGGAAATAACCCTTAAAAAGAGGCGTTTTGAGCCACCAGCTCCACATCTGACACAACGGCACGATGGGCTCCACCCTGCCATGTCACACACACACCTGTGGGCACTGGAAGGCTGCTCACCTGTGACCAGGGGGTAGGACTGAGGCCCGGGAACACTGGCTCCCAAATCCGCAGACGTGGGACTGGTTATGTTGGCCTTCATGTCATCTAATCCACCAGCTAACGAGGCCATGGCTGAGTAGTCAGTTGCCTGGAAAAAGAAACAAAAGGCATCTTAGTGGTAATAAATCCACCATTTGAGAGCTTTTTGCCTGTGACAAAAGGCAGCTGCAAGGCAGAGCTCAAAAATCCTTTCTTCAGTCAAAGGCAACACTCCTCTACACGGGGCTGCTGACCCTTCAGGATGCTTGATAAGCAGGCCTGTGCTTATCACCACTGCTCTTGGAGAACATGAAAATGGGCTTTCTTTACAAAACCATACCAAACTCATCACCAGGTAACAAGGCTTTCCTTGAAGAGGAAATTTTGTAGAGTAATGGGGCTATAACTGCTGAGGACAAGGTACTTGCTTGTTAGAGAGTTAACACTCATGCCAGTTAACCTGAGCTCTCCTTATTTCAGTGGTGGCATGTGAAGAGACACACACCAACAAGCAGGTGGGAATGGAGTGCCCCATTTCCCCCCTCTTCTTGGAAATGCTGCATTTCCTCATAATCCCAGAAGAAATCAAGTGCACATAAATAAAAGTGGTTAAAGGATGGAACTGTTTCTGAAGCCAAATTATTTAAAGATAAACCACCTGATTGTTTTAAGGATGCTCTCTCAACTCATAGAAATTTTTAAATCTCATAAACCAGAGCTGTGGTAAATGAGCACAGGTCCTCAAAAATCAGGCTGTTTCTGTCCTTTCACCACGTAAAAGTTCACACAGCTACAGCAAAACACAGTAGGTCAGGCCAGTCCCTGCATCCCCAAGGACTTCCACGCGCATGGCAGAAAGCTCATCTTCATTTGCCTTTCACATTATTTCTTATTGTTAGGATCATTCACACCAAACTGGGATGCCTTCTTTCAAAGCTCTCCCTTCCCTGTTATATTTGTGTTTTTAACCCCATATTTCTGAGCTGGTAAACATGCCTGCAACAACTGGAGGACGACGACTTCAAGTGAGGACCAGCCAGAGGAACACAACTGTAGAACCCCCACCCTGAGGCTGCTCCCTGCTGTGCTTCTGCAGACTGAGCCCAAGCAGGAGCTGTGCAGACCTGAACCACCGCAGGGAAGCCCAGACCCTGTGATTAGTTCGAGTGACCAAATCAAAAGGTAACTCTTTTTTATTAAGCAAACAAAAGCAAACATGTGAACATGTTTCCTCCTGAGTGAACACGTCTTTCTTCCTCTCACAAGTTTCTGGGAAGGTTCAGAGAACCCAGCACACAACCTGGTATTCATCACGAGCTCAGTGACCACTTTGGGTTAGATGTCCCTGTTTGTGTCTCTGCTGCTCAGTTCTCCCTGCACAGAATTACGTGGGTAACCGCACACCAGCTGGTCTGTGGGGATAAACATCTTCCTCCTGAGGATGCGACTGGCATGAGGCATAAGTACACCCTGTCCCCTCACCAGCCCCACACAAACCTCTTGCAGGTGAGTGAGTCAAAACCTTTTTGCCGGTGACAAGCTGAAGAATATTCTGTCCCTTCAACTGGATCAGCACACCAGGGCCCTTCAGACCAATGGCCACTCAGCAAGGACCCATCTCCTTGCTCCTCCTCAACTCTTGCATTAAAGGCATAGAGTCACAGACTGGTTTGGATGTGAAGGGACCTTAAAAGCCCATTCAGTCCCACCTCTGCATGGCAGGGACACCTCCCACCAGCCCAGGCTGCTCCAAGCCCCATCCAACCTGCCCTTCAACACTGCCAGGGATGGGGCAGCCACAGCTTCCCTGGGCAACCTGGGCCAGGCTCTCCCCACCCTCACAGCACAGAATTTCTCCCTCACATCTCATCTCAGTCTCTCTCATTCAACTTAAACAGCTTATTCCATCTCTGACACCCTCCATGCTCTCAAGTCTCCTTTGTCTTCATGGACTAGCCCCTTTCTCCTACCACCACTGCCACAAAGACTTAGATTCTGGGATTCTAAGTGCAACCAAAGCTCCACACCCTACCAAGGTGGGTTTTTCAGCCTTCCCACACCAGTCCACACTGTTCCACGCCTGCAATCCCTCCTTCCCACAGGTACCTGCTTGTGCAGCCACCTCACAGGGTTTCTTCACTCCCCAAAGCCCTGATCCAAGGAGACACTGGAGGACCAGCAGCATGGCTGCATCCCTGCAGGGACACCTTGGGCTGGCACGAGCAACGTGGGACCGGCCAGGAGCACAGCAGAGGGAAGGGATCTCCTTGTGTGCTCCTGCTTGGTATTTCTGATGTTTGGAGAAGGGCAGGCAGCACTCTATGGGGAAGGGCACTTGATCTCATCCCTGCTGCTCCAAGAAAGCCAGAACCACACTGTACCTACCCTAGGCAATCTCTTTGTACCTCCTCATGGCACACCGACCCGCCAGTCCCTGCGGGCAGGGTGTGAACCCCGTCACCCCTCCTTTGGGAGGGAGCTGCCAGCTGTGGCACAGCTGGGGCCCACCAGGGGTGGGTCAGGGTGCACGTCCAAGGCCCACAACCAAAAGGTGTGTTTGGGGCTGCTGGTCCTTGCAGAACCCCCCCGGACCAGCCCCAGCCCCTGCCAACCCCAGGCCCTGGGCTGGAGCTCGTGTCGAAACGCCGCGGCTCCGGCTGGGGAGGCAGGACCAGGTCTCAGCTCTGCACTGCAACCATCTGGAAGCACCACGTCAACATGAGCCAGATCCTTCAAGCCTGGAGGACCAACCTCTGAGGGCCAGAAATGAGCAGCTCTCGGGGAGTAGCACACAGACACTGACAGGTTTGGTTGTTGCCACGAAATCACAGACTTTTCAGCTTCCCGGGCTTCACTAGTGTGTGGGTGCACCAGGGGCTGGGAGGGGACACAGCTGGGACAGTCCATCCCAGCTGACCAAAGGGACATTCCACACTGCATGACACCATCCTCAGCAGATGAAGCTGGGGAAGAAGGAGGAAGGGAGGATGTTTGTAGTGGTGATGCTGGTCTGCCCAGGGGATCCTCACGGGGAGGGAGCCTGGCTGTCCTGGGAAGGGCTCCACACCTCCCAGATGGTGGCAAGTGCTGACTAAATTCCTTGCTTTGCTTTGCTTCCGTCTGTGGGTTTTGCTTTGCATGTATCTCAACCCACAAGTCTTGCCACACAGTCAGAGAATCCTTTTGGTTGGAAAAGACCTTTAAGATCATCCAGTCCAACTGTTCCCCCAGCCCTGCCATGGCCACCCTTGCCCCGTGTCCCTCAGCACCATCTCCAGGGCTTGGAAACCCCTCCAGGGATGGGGACTCCCCCCCTGCCCTGGGCAGTCTGGGCCAGGCCCTGACAACCCTTTGGGAGAGAAGTTTCTTCACTGGAACTGCACTGAGCCTGCAGCCCTCCTGCTCCCCTGTTCTCCAGGGACAACCACTGAGATGGCAGAGGATGGAGCCATGAGGCACCCCTGGACACCCCCAGCTCCCGTCCCCCCTTGGATGGCCTGGAGAGGTGGTGATGGTCCCTCACCTCCTGACACCTTCTATGTCTGTACCTGGGGGGTGGCCCAAAATGGGGTGATACCACAACTCCAGAATTTAGCAAGCTCTGGGCATGCACAACTGGTGGAAAAGTCCCAGAATATTTCACCATCTGAGCTGGGCCGAAATGCAGAAGTACCTGATGAAGGTCAATTCTCTCAGACCCTATAAAGAGTGATTCCCAGGGAAGCCCTTTGAGCTGTCCTGGAAGGCAGTGGGCAGTGACCAGCACCTCCACTGAGCTGGGACATCTCCCAGGCATAACCCCCTTGAGGACCATCCACTGGGAAAGCTGAGGGAAGGCCAGGGAGGACTGACACTCCTCCAGCCTCAGCGACCACCTGCTGGGGAACCCCTCAGAGAGGGAAATTGTGACTACAGGCTGGCCCCTTCCATCCAGCTCTTGATCCATCCACGTGTTTGAATAGACACGTTTGCCCTCCAGAGATTGTGTGTCTGTGCCTCACCAGGCCCCAACAATTCTGTGTTGGTATCTACAGTTGAGTCTAGGATGCTCTGTAGTAAGTTAGTGTGAATCTCATCATTCTCAAACCTGTAATTAAGTCACTGTTTTAACCACAACACATTCTAATGAGTCGCTTCTTAATCTTTAAACTGGTTAGTGATTAAGTGCTGATGAAGTTCAGTCTTTCCATTAATAAACCCCAAGTTGCTGCTGGATGGTGGTGGAGTCAGAGCCGCTCCCTGTGGTGCTGCTGCAGCCCACTCACCCTGTGGGGTCGGGGCCCAGCACCCCCAAAGCAGCAGCCTGCAGGAGCAGCCCCATCAGGAACCCCGGGAGCCTCTCCAGCCCCCCAGGGAGGCTCAGATGTGTCCCTTCCACCGGGAAGGAGTTAGGAAGGAGCAGGGTCCGTCGGGGTTCGTCCCCGTGCCGCGGGAAGCCCGACCTGCTGCTCAGTAGGTGAAAAAGCACAAGTCGGGTGTTCAGTACCCCAGAAATTACCTGAAAAATGACTGCCTGCGGTTGTACCACGCACTGCCTCATCAGCATGGAGCACCACTGCCATAGCATGGGGGAGAGAAAACAGAGACGTGAAACGAGGAATGCAGAACAGGAGAGACCGAGAAGGACCAAGCGAAGGAAGCGGCAAGATGGGGTCTGATGTGTCCCCCAGCCCTGTCCTGCTCGGCCTGGGCAGGACTGGGACCCCCTGCCAGGGGCTGGGGGGAGGGGAGGGGTGGTCTCTGGGTCCCCACAGGCTGCAGCACAGTCCCTCTCACAGGGTCCCTCCCCACCAGCCTGGCCCCAGAGTGCCAGCAGGGAGAAGTGCTGGGAGAAGTTCCACAGCCCCCTCCACTGCAAAAGCTTTCTTCCTAGATACGACCCTCAGGCTAGGGGAGGTGGTGAGCAGGGAAAAGGGGTGCCAGAGCATTTTGGTGCCGTTTTCAAACCATTTCCATGGTGTGGCTGGAGGTCCCCACCATCTGCTGCTGCACTTGGCGAGGTGGTGGGACCAGCAGTGCTGCACTCTGTGCCCGGCCCGGAGAAGGCACCAAGCGTCACCCCCCGTGCACAGACACCCCTCCCTACACCTGCAGCAACTGTCTCTTTGA